TTTGCAATGGACTCTCACTCTAGTCTCCCTCTGTTGCCCAGGCTGGAGTGCAATGGCACAATCTCAGCTCACTGCAACCTCTGCCTCAGCCTCCAGAGTAGCTGGGATTACCGGCGCGCACCACCACGCCCAGCTAATTTTGTACATTTAGTAGAGACGGGGTTTCACCATGGTTAGCCAGGCTGATCTCCGGATCTCAGGCAATACATCCACCTCGGCCTCCCAAAGTGCAGGGATTACAGGCGTGAGCCGCCGCCCCGCTCGGACAGTTTTGCCAACAGTTTATTTTCAGGTCTGGAGTTATCCAATGGCCATTCATTTGAATGAATATGTTAGTTTACGAGGGGAAAAATATGTCATAGACTCTTGCCTCTTAGTACTACACAATTCTGTTCTCCAGACTGCCACACGTTCGGTAATTTGTGTTTTATCAGGCATCGACACATGCTGAGAGCACAAATTCAGCGCCCTTTTTTCGGTTAAACCTCTTGGGGGAAGGTAAAAAAGAAAATTTGTTCCCAGTTGAAACTTGTAAACCTAAATTTTCCTTACCTCTGAAAACAGAAAAAAACACATGATTTGGCAATTCCTTCCTTGATGGTAGTTTTTCCGACAAAGCAGCCACCTCCCAAACGCAGGCACTCTGTGCAAAATGCAAAGGACACAAAATCACGACAGCCCTGCAAATCTCCCTCCTAAATCCAACAGTAAGAAGGTGAACGAATACTTAATTCAATGACTTCCCGTGCTTGCAGCTAGCATCATTCCTTCCTCCTGGGAAAAGTGAGACTCCATTGCATCTTTAAGATTCCTTTTAAAATGCCTTGAATGCTCCTTAACACCCCGGTGGGAATCCTGTAGCCCTAGCCCCGCGGGGTTTCCTTCTCTCTCCGCCCATGCCCATTCTCTTCATCCCCCCCTAGTTTCACATTCCTTCCCAATCCCTCTCACAGCCCTGCGCCGGGGCCCTTCCCCAGCTTTCCGGGAAAGCTTTCGCTTCGGGCCTGTTAGGGATCCAACAATACCGTAACACCGTTCCCGTCCTCTTCCTCGGCACCGCTGCAAACGCCCCGGGTAGCTACCGGATTTGACCGTGGCTGGACGGGCGCGGGCAACCCAAGGCAGGAATTGCGTCCTGGGGAAAGGCAAGGTGGACAACGTGCGGCAGCAGCCGAGGCCTGGGCCCTCCGCGCGCCCCCGCGCTCCTCCGCGTCGCCCACTGCCCCGCTGGGCCCCTTCCCCGCTGGGCCCCTTCCCCCGCGCTCACTGGAACCTGGGAGCTGCTCGTCACCGAGGCCCGCGCCCCAGGGCGCGGCGCCTGAATCTGGGCCGTGCTCCGGAGAGGACCGGGGGAGTGGGCGGGGGGAGTGGGCGGTGCCTCCCGGCCTCGCCGTCTAGGTCTCGGCGTTCCCGAGGATGGCGCGTTTTGGGAAAAGCGGGCCCGGTGGTTACGCCCGCCACCCAGCCGCAGGTCTCAGCCACCTCAGAGCCTTTGGAGGGCCGCCCTTCTCACTCACCTCCTGCGCACAGCGCGCACCCAGCTCGGAAGCGAGAAGGCGGCCGGCGCTCCCGCCCTGCGCACACACGCAGCCTCCCCGCAGGCGCACGCACGGCCGAGCGCGCGCAGACCACGCGCCGGGGCCGCGGCCGGGAGTCCTGGGCCCTCAGCCCTGCACGCTCGCTTGGCGCGCTCTTGGGGTCCTCGGGGTCACCTTGCATTCCGAGCACGGCCGTGTTAGCTTTTAATTGCTGCTTGCCAAGATTAGACAACTTAGTGGCAGACGTCGGGCTAGGCTAACTGTTTAAGATCCTTTCTTTTTCCCTGGTAGTCTCTCCAAGCTCCTGGGTGCATGGCCTCGAGGCGGCCCTGGATGGATTTTCTTGTTAAACTCCATACAGAACTAATTAGGAAAGAAGAAACCTTAAGAGGAGCTGTTTGCTGTCTCAGAAGAAATGCCCATTCTTCTTCTAGAATCGATGGGGAATGAAGTGGGGGTAAGAGAGACATGTCGGGTTTCAATGGCTTGTGTATGGATGGGAGTCCCAAGGAGTCGCGTCCTCTTGGGAAGCACCTCCCCAAACTCTCCATTGTTCTGGGCAGTTTAAGGATGGTCTGCCTCACTCTGAGTCCTCACCTTCCAGGGCTGACTGTGAGAAGTGAAGCGCCTTTTAGGCCCGGGAGCTGGTGTTCCATATGGCTTCTAGTCCTACTAGTCTTTGAGTGGATGGAGGTGGTTAAATTAATCCGAAACAATACTTCCACTCCTCTCTAGGTGCCCTTGGAATAGGGCCATCTGAAAGCAGTTCTCCATTCTGGTCACTTGGCTGGGAGACTGTGAACAGCTTGGCCCTGACATCCCTGCATGAAAAGTTGAAACAGAGTTCAGTTCACAGCCACATACTGTACATGTCTCTAAGATTAAACAACTGTTAACCGTTTACCATGATTGCTCTCAGTATGTACTTCAGCCTGCATTTCCTAAGACTAAGGACATTCTTATGCATATCACAATACCATTATCACATTGAAGAAACTTAATAATCTATTATTACTTAATATCCAGTCTACATTCAAATGTCCTCACTTGCCAAAAACAAGTCTTATATATTGGTTTGGTAGGAAAAGTCATGCATTGCATTTGTTGTGTTTGTCTCCTTTAACGTACAGCAGTCCTCCACCTTGCTTTGTTTTCATGGCATTAACTTTTTGGTTTCTCTATTTGTGTTTTTCTTCTCCCGGTGTTATTTAACTTTTCTTTTAGCTCCTGAACTTCCTATAAGCTGGAAGGAAGGTTTAGAGACTTGATTGGATAGCTAGAATCCTGCATAGGTTACATGGTACTCTTCATGTTGTTTTCCACTAGGTAAAACATAGTATTAAATAGTAAACAACATAAAATCAATTGTCCAAATATTTATGGTCACTAGGGTAAAGAGGTGACCTCCAAATCTATTATAAAGAATTAGGAGAACCGTTTCCTTTCTGTGGTTAATAGGTAATCTATCAAATTAAAGACTTTGGAACTATTTGGTGGAGAAAGTCTTAGATCTCTACAGAAGAGACAGAGGTTATACAAGACTAATGTACAAAGAAGATAAACGATATTCCCATAAGATGTTACTCATGGTAGTGTCCCTAAGGGGTAATGGATGGACTAACATGACCAGCCCTGGGTCTGAAAACCAGTTTTTAAGACCATATCTTTGACTCATTCAACTATACAAAGACATTGTTAGAGGCACCAGAAACAGATGAGTGAACAAGATTGACAAGGACCCTGTAAGATTCACTCTTAGAGGAAGACAAGTAGGCAAGATCATTTCTAAGGGGTCATAGATGCTGTGAAGCTGATAAGGGGAATCTGATGGAGAATGTGATGCTCTAAAAGCAGATCACAGGGTTGAAATCTCTGAGGAACCATTGACATTGTAAGAAAAATATCACAACAGTAATCAGCTCTGTCCCATCCACTCCACTGTGTGGGTGTGTACTTTTAGTGCAGCGTATATCATCATCAGTTGTGAACCTTTAAAGACAAATTCATTCACCTAGGTGGACAGATTAATACTAATTTGGATCATTCTAGTACCTACAGCTTCAGATTACCTAGTGGTAGATGCCTCATAATGTGTGATGAATTGAGTTGAATACCAGCTTCATTCAAAGAGCAGTGAAGCTATGGTCTCTGTGGGGTGTGGACTACTTTAGAGTTCCTGGTGATAATTCTGCTAAAAGTAGTGATGCTTTCTACAGGGCCTTGTGATATGTATTTTTAAAAGATTTAACAAAATCCAGGAGGAGTTCCCTATATTTACCTCAGCATACCTGACCTAAACTCCCAGCTTCATCTCCTCCAACTCCTTTTACCAAGATGTGCAGTATTGATTGTACTGGTTCTTTCCTCAAAATCAAGTGTGTCTGAATCGTGTATTTAACCACTACCAAGCCCAGCCACGAGCACCACCCCTTATTGTAACCCACACATCTGCATCAAGACTGTAAATGTGGCCCACCATTTCTGTTTACTAACTCATTGGCCTGACTGCTTCTTCCTTATCAAAGCCTTTTTCTACAAAATCACTTATGATAGTTTGAAGGTTCTCTGAAAATAATAGGGCTGAATATAGGGATCAAAATGGCTATACAACAAAAGTAAGTTTAGATAGTAGCAGTGTAAGTCAAGGACTTAGTTGGCACTGCATAAGTAATCAGATCTAAATTATGGTTGAGAGTATTTTCCTGGTTCCAGCCCTGGCAGGTAGCTGTGCCTTCTGCAGGGGGTAAAGTGATTGCTGCCCTGCTGCACGCCTTTATCACAGCCATTCTTCACCCCACCTGGGCTGACAGTTCACCTCACTAAGTCAAGGAGGTCCATTAATAACAAAACCAGACAGGTTTCACTGCAAATAGATTCATATACTGAAAAAATCGACCTCTAATTTGGAAGAATGTTTTAGGACATTAATATTATATTTTATAAATTCTTTTTTTTTAATTTTAGAAAAGATATATTTCAATATTCATTTTTAAAATGTTTTGAATGTCCTTTGAGTAACCAGCAGGTATATATGCTCATAACTGCCAAAACCTCCCTGGAATGCAAAACAGAGCCATGGACAACAGATGGGGGTAAGAAATTCTTTTAAATGAAGTGAGACAAAAAGCTCCAAAACCTTTAAGAGGTTATTTCCTTTGAAGCAGTCTCCTTTTTCTTTGTGTAGCATTTATCAGCTTGTGATTGAGTTATCTATTGCTGCAGCACAAGCTCCCCCAAAATATAGTTGCTTGCAAAAATGTCAATTTAATATTTCTCACAATTCTGAGGGTTGGTTGTATAGTTCCTCTCTGGTTTTGTCTGGTCTCACTCATATGGATACATTCAGCTGTAGCAGGAGTTGGCCAAATTTTCTGTAAAACAGGATTAGATAGTAAATATTTTAGACATTGTCTCTGTCACATATTCTTTTTTATTTATTTTTTACAAACTATGAAAAACCCAAAGCTGTTCATAGCTCAAGGGCCATACAAAAGCAGGCTGTGGCCTACAGGTTGTTTGCTGATCCCTGAACTGGAGAATCAGCTGAGCTAAAAAGTCCAAGGTGACCTCACTCATGTGTCTGCTGTCGGCTCTGTGTGGCCTCTCATCCTGCAGTAGGCTATGTTTTTGGTCTGTGGGCAACATCCAGAAGTGGGCAGGCAGAAGCTGTAAAACTTCTTAAGGCCTAGATTTGGGAGTCACACAAGGTTATGTAGGCCAAATTCTGCAGAACTAAGCAAATTGTGAGGCCTCTCCAAATCCAAGGGACGGGCAAATGGACTCTGCCTCTTGATAGGAGGAGCTGCAGATAATGTGGCCAGATCTAGCAGAATGAAGTGGCAGGAACCTTATTCAAATAGCTTCCAAGTAAATCATCGAAGTTTGAATTTATGATGTCTGTTGGCAGCTATTGTTCTTACTTATGTCCCCAAACTACCCAAGCCTGCTTATAATTCTGTGAGCACTCATTTATAACTTGGCTCCGGGCTTGTTAACAAGTATAAACAACTAAACTGCCATGAGATTATCAGCAACCTGAGGGAAGAGACAGAGACTGCCTTGCTGTGACATATCTTCAATACATTTATAAGGAATTTAGTTGGATAGCCTTACTGAGGTTTCAAGTCAGGTTATTTGCTTACTTCACAAAAGTGAAATCAATTTAAGAATCCTTCACTATCTACAAATTCCAGAAGAAAAGCATTCATCAAAGAGTTACATTTCACACTCAATTACCATCTGATCAATCACATAGAAAACTTTCCAGCAGTTTTCCAAACATATAATCAAAAGTTAGGAAACCATATGCCTAATGATAAGTTTGAACAAGCAATCACCTTTAACGATATGTTACATTTTAACCTTAAATTTGTTTGCAGATGAAAATCAAAATGTAACAACAGTTTTTTGTAATATGTGCTACTTATGTTTCCAGGCAGAAATGGTTCTGGACAAGATTTCTAATTTACAGGAAATGCTGCTACTAATTGTTCAGCTGAATTTTTCAGTATGTGTTTTCTCCAAAATCTCACTGTGACTGTCTTTCTCCACTTGATGGAAAGCTTTGACAATTTATTATGCTTAGAAGCAGCTGGGGTATATTTCTAATTGATGATTTGTTATCTTATATTTCTTACTTGACTATCCACATCTTTCATTCTCTTCAGCATTTTCCTCCAGCACTTCCTGTCTTACTGAATTTGATATATGACACTGCCTTTGTGCAAATGCAGAGAATATCTTCAGCCTTTCTTCTGCCTCCCTCCTTCAAATTACAAATACATGTAAGAGTCATGCTAGTAACACATATATGACATCCTAACATAAACACAATATATTCACATATACTCTATCACTTGATTATTAATACTCCAATACTGTGGAGGTAGATACTGTCATTACCATCATTTGGCAAGTAGAGAAACGTGAACAAATGTCTCAGAGATACCTCAAACTTAACATGTCTAGGCCAACCTCAGCACCTTCCCATAAAATCTGCTTATTCTCTTGATTCCTGATTTAGATAAAGCAGCCCCATTTATCACTCATCCAAGTTCGACTCTCACTTCGTCCTTCTCTCTATTCCACATGTCC